AACTGTTTATCTGTAAACAGTCTTCTTATTAACAGATTTGTTTTAATAACAGACTTTTGCAAACAGTTTTACTTTTGGAGGGGTCTTGTTTAGAGTTGGCCCAGGCCAACTCAAATAGATGTTTGTGGAACAGTTTTGCTTAGAGGTTTCTTGACACCACAACCAGTATAAAAACACTCAGTTGTAGTTTTACAGTATTGTCTGCATCCAAACATATGTCCCCACTAAATAAATGCAGGAGTAAATTGCAAGGAAAGAGCAGAGGAGCTAGAATTTAAAGTTTCCTTTAGCACCAAAGACGAAGTCACCAAGTTACACCTTCAGTGCACTTTAGAGGAATGTTTATGTTTCTTGTTGACGACACAACTAATATTCTGTAATTTGTTTGGTACTTCATTAAAGGGGTGCCGAGAAACACACTTGATGCTATTACCAAACAACTTCTTTTCCACGTACAAAACAGACACTTACAGCAAAACATATCAAATACGCCTCCCAGATTTTCCATATACATATTCTAGAACTGTTTCCAATAATGTGTATTTAAGAAGAGTCTGCAGCCTTTCTTCCACCATCACATTTCTATCGGTGCACCCTCTCTCTTTCCCCCACTCCACCTGTGTTTGTAGAACTACAATGAAAATCAATCAAAATCCTACCAGGCTTTTAGAGGGCTGGTAAAGGATGGCAGAAAATTAAAAAAATGGGAGGGGAAAGCTGGGGGGGGCGGAGCAGATAATGAAATAGGAAACACTGACTTGGACCATTCACTACACTATTCTTTTACTCTGAATACAGTTTAGATCAGTTACAAACCAGCTTCTACACTTGCAACAACAGCAACAAAGTGTTATTTCAACCTGGCAAAAGCTTCCTCAGGCAAGCAGAGGAAAGAAAAAAAAAAAAAATATCAGTGGCATTTGAAATCTTGGTTCATCTTCTCCAAATCTTTTCCAATTGTTGTTTATCTTGTCTGAGGTGAATGGACTAGCCTCAGACACAGCATTCAGGATGCAGATTAAGACAGAATCATAGAATAGTTTGGGTTGGAAGGCACTTTTAAAGGTCATCTAGTCCAACTTCCCTGTTATGGAGGCATGTATACAAGGGCATAATGGTGCTCCTATGCCCACATACTTCCTACCACTTAATTTGTTTTTTTATCAAGATGATGTTTTTATAGAGCTGTTTATTTTAACCATGATTTCATCTCAGAGTGGCACAAGTTACTTGGGATCCTATTGGTTTTTCCATATATATTTTACAGTTACATACTTTAAATCTGTCTATCACTTTATGTACCAAAGTGTCTCTGAGATGCTCCACAATCAGTTATGTCTTCACTTTACCCCAAGTAATTGGGGTAACTGCTATTGGTGTTTGTAGAGCATGACTTCAAAATTAGTTCTGAGTATACTAAATGTAGTTATGTTTCATTTGACATTAAACCTATATATGCTAAGCCATTTCTACAAGAAAGGCACAAATAGTATGTATCAGTATCATTTACAGTGCTTAAGCAAGTTTTTCTTAAGCTTCTGCTTCTATGTGGGATTTTTTATTAGCTTGGAAAAAGAAATACATCAGGGTAGGTAGATAAAGATTCAATATTCGCTTTCATTCAAAGCCCTGTGCTAGAGTCACCTAAATTCACAATCACTTCATGCAGATGAGGAAAAAGTAATGACTAAAAAAAATATTTTTTCTTCTCTACAATGGTCACAATCGTATATTGCTTTCTTATTTTAAAGGAGTACACTTTAGTTTGTAACAAGTGCAGAAGATGACAGTTATTTGCTGTTCCTACCACTCGCTCTGGTAAAATCCCTTATTCTCTATAATCATAGCATGTTTAACACATAACATGTCAGTTAAAGCTCACATGAACCAAAAGCTTCATTGCATTCTTAAATATGCTGATAAATTAATCAGCTTCTACACTCTATGTGTCTGTTTTATCATTTTGAGGACAAGGTCACAAATATAATAAACCCTGAATGAAACAGTCAAGGTCAGGCTTTTAGATAAGCCTCTTCATAATGTGATGATTACAGGGTTTTCTGAACAACACAATTTGTGCAGACTGCTTCTCAAAACAAACACATATTTTACAGTGCTGAAGGGCAATTACCATCTCACAGAGCTATATTATGGAAGAATACAACTTTTACTATTGTTAAATGGAAATAGTATGGTCTCAGCCTAAATAAACAAGCAATAAAGTTTAGAACAATCAGAGCCATCTCAGGATGACCACAAGCAAAAGACATAACACAAAAAATGAGTTTAAAAGATCAAGTGTAGCAAAGAAAATTAATAAAATATGTGGCTTTATATAAAAATATTTAAACAAACAAAAAACCCCAACCTAGCACCACATCAGTGAGCACGAGAACAGAATTGCACATAACACATAAACCCACTCTCCTATCAGATAACCTCGAGTATGTTTCTAACGTGACTTCAAAACAGAGCTATGTGGCATTCTAATCACATACAATAAATGCACTGTACATTACTTGCCAACCTAGCTGATCTCCAGCAGCTGAAAAATTCTGCTGATTTAACACTTGCACAAAAATTACTACCTGTCTCCCTGAAAATACTTCCTTTTTGGCTTACTACATATCACAAAACACTTTTATTCAGTGTATGAATTTGGATGATATAGAAGCAACATAAGAACAGCCTTGTAAATATAGACTCTGATAAACCATGATCTGTCAAACATCAGTATCCATACTTTCTGTATGATAAGCCACTATTACCACATTTACACACCTATTTTCCTCATTAAACACAACAGAACGGCTCTTTGTACTCATCTTTGATGTACTTTTCTTGTCACTTCCACCCTCCAATATGAATCTTTCCAACTTCCAGTAATATATATTAAAAAATAATAATAATTTAACAGGTCAAGCAGCACCAATCATATAAAATATGATTTTCACAGAGTGTTGGGTATTCTAGATTAATTATAAACCCAGTAACAACATCATGTGTAAGATTATAGCAGATCACTAATCTAACTCCCTGCAGAGACTGGTTATACTTTCCTGATAGATGATATATCAAACTCAACAACTAAATCTCAGCCAGCAGGCATAGAGATAATGCGAGGCTTCAAAAAACCATTAAGGGTACTAACACTAGTGAGATTATAAAAAAAGAAAAAGCCCATCTTCAAATTAAGCATGATAAAAGTTTTTACTTAAAATAAAAACAATAGAAACACTTCTAGAAAAAAAAAAAGAAAAAGCAGGACTGGTGCTTAGAGCAACATTAATTAAATTTCACTTCCGAACATCCTATTAAATTTACTATTAGATAGACTACGTCATGCAAGTAAATAAATGCTATTTATAACTATCTCTAGCCACAGCAACCCAGTCATAGAGCCATTTCCCAGACTGTGTTATTGTTATGCCAAACAGACTGCTCTTTCATTTCTTGTCAGTTGTAATTACAGTTCCATAATTGAAATACAGTAAATTACCATGCAGTAACTTTGAAAGATGGTTCACAGAGGTTAGGCTGTCACTACAATTACTGTATTTTTTTATTAAAAATGGTAATTTAAATGTTCTACTTTTCTCTCAAAGAAAAAATTAATTCGGTTCAATCAGCTCCGATCAGTAAATATCTTCACGATGATGTAAACACAGAGAAACAACACACTTAAGCAAAGCCAATCAATCTCAAGTAGAAGTTCTAGGCTGCATACACAGATCAGTGTATATAAACTTCTCAAAGCACTGCAGAAAACGGCACATTTAAAAACAATATTTTATACAATCCTTTATTTAAAGAGAATACTCTTTATCAGAAATCAGTCATGTAATAACTATCCAGCATTTTCTGTATGTGCGCCTATGTTGTTTGTAAAGCATATAAAGCTTTGGAAACATCTTTCAAGTTTCAAGCATAATTTTAGTTCAGCTCTTCATCATGGTTTCGGCCATGATCAGTAGGAAACTGCAACTTTGCCTAATGACAATGAAGTGTAGATAAAAGATATAAATTAGCATGGACATTCCTAGAGCATAAATTTTGTCCTAAAATTTTTACTTACACTGGTCAAGCATAGCTTGCCTGTAGAAATTTTCTGAAGCATTTGACAGAAATAAAGTGAGAGAAGAAGACACAGAAAATGCACAAATAGCTGTCACTGTAAAAAGAATGCTCAAAATTATATAAGAATTGTTCCCTTAAGAAAAAAAAAAATTATCTTTCAATGAACTCCCAGCTGCTGTCTCTGCAAAGATAACTCAATGAAGAAAAACAGTAACAGACATACACATCTGAAAGCCATTCCTATTCTCTCCCTCACAAAGACTTTTTGCTGATGCTGGAATAGGCAATTCCTTAAATTCTGTTTTCCTCCTGCTTCCAGGCACCCAAACACTGTTGTTTCACTTGTGCTGGCACTCATTTGACCATTCAGTAAACAAAATAAGCTCAATAACTGAAAAGAACAAAATATACACAACAACAACAAAAAACCACAACAACCCTGGTAGTAAGTAGTTGAAGGGACAAGGTAGGATAATGTAACCTGGGAACAAGATGTGACACAAGGAGCTAAAGACAGGAGGCTGCAGAGAACTATTAGAAGCTCCAAAACTGTTATTTCAACAGCACCACTGGCAAAGCACACTGGCATTCTTTGGGTATCCTGAAGGTTTCAGTGGTTCTGTTTAACCTAAGACAAGCAAATGGTCCTCTATACTGTACTCCCATCTATTCTCTCAAGGTTTACAATAAGGCAAACGTAGTAAATAACTGCTTGAAGAAAAAGCCATAGCTTCAGCTGTGACAATCAAAACATTATATAAATGCATTAAATAAAACTTACTCTCAGCAGCTAAGAATCTCCTGGCCCAAATCTTTACCTATTTATTTTGCTAAGAATCTAGTAGTATCTGAAAGCATCCAGTATACGACATCAATGAGAGGCATTTTTCCCAGTAGAGATTAACTGTAATCATTTATTTCACCTCTGTTGCTTTCTCCAGGCTCTGTTGTAGACTGAGCAATTCTTTACAGTGTTGCTCTTTAAGTTTATCCATCTCCATGTCATGGCTAGACACTTCTTCTTTTAGTGCTCCTTTTAAAGCTGTAAGCTCTCTCTCTCTTTTCCTCAAAATCTCTTCTTGTTGATCTTTTGCTATTAACACTTCTTGCAGATCCTGCTTCATTTGCATCAGCTCCTAAAGAACAAAATAAACACAACTGCATGACAAAAGCTCTAACAGATGTTCTGTTTGTTTCAGTGAAGGAAAGCACATAAACATAAGCTCCCCAAGGCCAACTTTGTTTTGTATGACTGATGTATTCTTTGCAGCTTTTATAAGCAAAAAATTTCCTAACCCCTAAGATTACTAAAAGCATAACATATAGCTGATTTTTTTTATACTTGATGCCGCAAAACTATGCAAATATTTTGACGGTGTATGTTACGCTATCTGTAAATAATGAAAGAATCAAACTGAAGTTGGAATTTAATAACTCCCTCAGTTCTACCTTCTGTAGCAAAGAGGCAGATAAGAACAAGAAAAACCTTTTTTTCCCCCACACAGCAAGAGAAGTGAAACTAAGGATAACTCCTTGTTGTCTTTTCTCCTGGAAAGAATAAAGTAAGTTGCTTCTGCAAGTGCTGAAGACAAAACAAGTGCTTCCCAACTGAGTCCATGTCTTTACACCCTTCCTACTGCCATCACATTCACCCTAGAAGTCACTTCCTCTCTCCAAATTGCTGGGAAGGAAGTGGATAGTCAGTGAATTTGAAGAATGAATACACACATGCATGTATACAAACACAGGTTAAATTAACAGCAACAATAAAAAATTTAAAGCTTCAAGAATTATCTAATTCAGTATTTACCAAGCTGTGAATAACTGCACTTTCAAACAGAATGTAAACTTTCCCTGCACTGAAGCAGGATTAGTACATTTAAACCATTCCTGACACACATCATCTATTCTGTTCTTAAAAGCCTACAGTGAAAGGGATTCTACTACTATCTCACATAGTCAGGTTTCACTGTTTAATTATCCATATTGATAGAAAATGTTTTCCAACACTTACTTTAAATGCCTCCAGTTTAGGGTCTCACTTCTTACCCTATCCCCACAGAACACAGAAAAAATTATCACAATCTCCTTTATAGCAACATTATCGACTCTTCCCTCGCTCCTCCAATTCAAATTAAAAATCCTTCTTCATAGATAACATTTTTCAGTATTACCACCATCATTCCAGATATTCCCCTACTTATGTATGACTTTCAACTGCAGTGCCTGAGATTTAAGACAGTAATTTAAGAGATAAAAAACTATCTAATTGTTAAAACTGACTAACTGGTAATAGTGTGTAACTCAGCTGTCCATCGACCATTATGCTATTTGTTCTCCTGTTCTACAAAACAATGGCATTTCTACTTTGTATTTCTTTTAGTGTTATAGTAGTTATTATAACATGCTTCTTTAGGTCATCTAATAATGGTATATTGTTTTGAATTCATTGAATAGGAAAAGCTAAGGTATGCATTTCTTTTACATGCATCCTAGTTCCTACTTTTTATGAAATTCTGATTTTTTTCATCCTTTTTCTGTACTTTATAACTAACCTCAATCAGAACCTCTTTCTCCCCTTCATCAATATGTTTTGCATGATCCAGTTCATCATGCATCTCAGAGAGCTGGTCTTGAAGATCTCTGATCTCAGTCTGGTGTTGTTCCTGCTCCATCTTGACTTGAAAAAGCCTCATAGGGGAAAAAAATAAGACAGGATTTTTTACTTTGTAGAAATACTAGTTTGCTCTTTCAAGTACTAAAAAGAAAGAAATATTTATTCCCATGTTTCCCACAAGGGAATGTAATAGAATGAGGCAGAAAAAATGAAATGTTAAGAGGGATAAAAATGAGAACTCTTTTAAGCAGATACCTAAGTGGAAAGTTTTACTTCATTTTACACCTGATATTGTATTATTGACTAATATGTTCAAGTGCTTCTATATTTTAAAGACTTGAACTCTATATTACTAACATGAAATATTAAAAGCAGATCACACTAAGAGGAAGACTAAATTCAGCAATCTTTCTCTTCTTTCCAGATATTCTGAAAACATGCCTCTTTTCAATGGTAGAAAATTTCTTACAATAACAAATGCCACTTTGCCTGATTCCATGAACATATTCTGAAGACACAGGTACTTTTAGCCTTTAAGGTTTAAGAAAAGGTCCAAATTCCAATGAATAACTTTTCTAGAATTAACTTACTCCTCCAGGTTTTCCCTGAGTTCCTTCTCATTTTCTTCCAGCTGCTTTTTTAAGGCTTCTCTTTCACATATACTTTCATCAAGTTGCAACTGAAGATCTTTCAGGCTTGCTCGTGTAGCATCTCTCTCTTCTTTGGAATTTTGCTGATTCTGAATTTTGTACAGCAAAAGCAAGATAAAAGACTAAACATACATAAGTTAAAAGCTCTACATTACTCTATCAAATAAGTGTTTTCAAGACACTGATATTTTTCACTTGTAGAAGTGCCTATTCATTTATTAATACTAAAAGCTTGGAATGTTTATTTAAACACATAGAATCATAAAATCATTAAGGTTGGAAGGGACCTCGAAGATCAAGTTCCAACCCCCCTGCCATGAGCAGGGAACCCTACCACTATACCAGGTTGCACAAAACCTCATCCAACCTGGCCTTAAAAAACTCCAGGGATGGGGCATCAACAACCTCCCTGGGCAACCCATTCCAGTTCCTCACCACCTTTATAGTGAAGAATTTCCTCCTAATATCTAACCTAAATCTCCCCTCTCCCAGTTTAAAACCATTACCCCTTGTCCTATCACTGTCTTCTCTGATGAAAAGCCCCTCCCCAGCTTTCCTGTAGGCCCCGTTCAAGTACTGGAAGGTGCTATAAGGTCTCCCCAGAGCCTTCTCTTCTGTAGGCTGAACAGCCCAACTCTCTCAGCCTGCCTCTGCCACAGCAGAGGTGCTCCAGGCCTTTGATCGTCTTGGTGGCCCTTCTCTGGACCCTCTCCAACAGGTCCATATCTTTCTTGTGCTGAGGGCCCCAGAACTGTACACATTATTCCAGGTGGGGTCTCACCAGAGCCAAGTAGAGGGACAGAATCCCCTCCCTGGCCCTGCTGGCCACACTTCTTTTGATGCAGCCCAGGATGCAGTTGCTCTCTGGGCTCCAGCATACACTGGCAGCTCATGTCGAGCTTCTCATCAACTACCACCCCCAAGTCCTTCTCCTCAGGACTGCTCTCCAGCCATTCTCCCTCCAGCCTGTATTTGTGCCTGGAGTTGTGCCAACCCAGATGCAGGACCTTGCACTTGGCCTTGTTGATCTTCACGAGGGTGGCATTAGTCCACCTCTCCACCCTGTCAAGGTCCCTCTGGATGGTGTCCCTTCCCTGTAAGGTATCATCAGCAAACCTGCTGAGGATACAGTCAATCCCACTGTCCATATCTTCAACAAAGATGTTAAACAGCACTGGTCCCAGTACTGACCCCTGGGGGATACCACTCGTCACCTGGCACCATTTGGCAAAAAAAGCACTATTTTCCAATTTTTATTAGAAATGTGAGTTCCAATTTTTATTAGAAATGTGAGAAGTCTCCTCAGTATTATATTGATTCTGCTCACAGGCTCAAAACACAAACCAAAAGAAGTCAACTTGTTCTCCTGTCTTCAGAGCATGACTGTAATTACTTTGAATTCAGCACTGCAAAAATAATGCTGTAAGTAACAAACAGCATCTACGTGAGTAATACAGTTTGTCTTTCACTCCATATCTATCTCGTCACAGTCAAAAGACTAACATTTACCTCTGCACACACCAAGAGAAATTATATGAGTACATGTGCAATATTTTTATTCGCAACTTCAAACTCCTACTCAGATATTAAGAAAGATTTCTTAAATAGCATAACTATCCTATAAGCAACTACACTCAAAACAAGGAGTATTCTGTAAAAGCACAGATATATCTGGGTTAAAAAGAATATGAAGTTAAAAAGACTCAGCTGGTTGATCAGCTGTCACTTAGAAAAGTATATTTGAAATAGTCAAAAGTTGCATAACAACAAAGTGCCATACCCTCATTTCTAGATCCAGTTTTTTCTCCAATTCTTCCACTTTCCTTTCAAGTTCTGCTTTTTGTTCCACCAAAGCTTTTACTTCAGCTGAAGAATCAGAAACCTATAATTAAACAGAGATGCTTATTCCAACAAAGCCAAAATGTTCTTTGACAATTGTTTTCCAAAGTCTAAAGTAAAGCTGCGAACAAGGCTAATAAAGTGTAACATCAACTGTCTGAGCTCACCAGGGACTTTTCATATGGGTCAAGCCAAGATAATATTTTCAAAGGAATCATGATTAGATTTTCATAAAAATTCTTGGTAATTGCTCTAGGCACATTGCCAATAATACAGAAAATATACAAACCCCAAGAAAAATTCAAATTAGGCAATATATGAACTAAATCATGAGTACTTGGGCCAAATTTGACTCACATGTCACCAATTACACAAAATGAACAAAGGGATTCATATTCATATGTCAAGACAGATTTTGAAACATTTGCTGGTCATTTCTTAAGATGTGTTTTATATTTTAATTTTGACTAATTATTATTATCACTGCAACAACTGGGCATTTCCACATCCTTCTTTAGAACTAAATGAGTAGTGCAGCACATATCAGGAAGCACAGACTTTTCAGTAGATAGACTGTCAAATGCTGCTATTGTAATATGGCTTTTAAACAGTATCATATAGATAACTGCTTTTCTAAACTACAATTCAAAATACTCTCTCCACTTAGGTATCTATTTACATCACCATAAAGACAAGATGCTCCACCATTTTTTTAAACTAACTATGTTTGCTGTTTTCTCAATTTAACAACCTTTTGACATTCACATTGTTTGTATCTCTTTCCTAAAATGCAGCTCTCATGGCTCCTCTACATTATTTTTTATTTTTTAACAAACAGATTTCCCATAAGTCATCTCAGTGCATTATTATAATTAAGCTGTACTACAGAGTACTACAAGAACAGTCTAAATTGAAGTCACTGAAGTGATTCAAAATTTTAAAGCCTTGTTTCAACATTGTATTATTATGAAACAAGCCAAAACAACTTTAAAAATTGTTTACCTGCGTCTTTCCTGCAGCTCTTGACTTTAAAGTCTGAATTTTCTCAAAAACTAAGTTGACTTTCCTCTTTGTTGCATCATCATTTTCAGCACTTCTAAAATACAGACAGTACAAATAAGCAACATCATGATCAAAGGTACTATTTTGTTACCATCAAAACAAATTCAGTGTCCAGACTATTGAAAATCACCACTATAGAAAAAAAATAAATTTAATAGGAACACGTCAGAAATTATCTTAACTACTATTTCATTAAACCCTCAAAAGAGAGGCTGATAAAAATTTATATTTCAAATGTTTAAAACCAATCAAAAAACATATAAACAAAGAAAAAAACCCAAAAAACCAAAAACAAACAAACAAACAAACAAAAAAAACCCCAGCACCAAACTCTTTAATTGCATCTCTCTTCCACAAGACTATAGCTGTGGAAAGACAGGTGTTAGTATGTATATTATTCAAATATATTGAAACTAGAAGGAATTAGTACTAGGTTTTTCAAGTCCTGACTACTGCAACATAAAAAAACACTTCAATAACTCCCAGAACCTCCTACATCAGGAATGCAAAGAAATTTAAGTGCACCATACATTTTTAAATTAATTTATCCTTCCTTCATCTTACAATAAGCTATCCTTAGAAAACACCAAGTAGGAAAGTTACAGGTGGACAAAGAATTACATGCATAGAGAGCTTCTGTCAAACGTTAAGAAATAAACCTTTTTTGTTGTTGTTTAAAAATTCACAAGCTTAAACTCCCATGAGGTAATTATTTTAACACTTCATTCTCCACATCATATGATGTGTAACTCTCTAGAAGTATTTAAAAGACAAAACATATTCTGATTCACAAATTTCAAATACATTTAACCAAATCCTGTAAAATGTCCTCTATAAGACCTGATTCCATGGGTGTTTTGAGATCCTGTAATGCCTTCAAGGACACAGCTGAGATACAAGCATTTCATTTAATTATAGCTTTGATTTTACAACTTCACATTTTAAATGTAATGGAAGTAAACACTGAGAAAATACAGTCTCCTCTCCAAAAGTTAACTATGTTTACTAACCCTTCCTTAAGGTAATTGTAAAGTATTTGTTTAGCAGTCTCTTCATTTGTTTGCTGTGCAAGATCTTGCTGGCCTCTTAACAGATCAGGAGTTGCCTAAAAGGACAAGATAAAATGTCAAAATATATAATCCTATGAGGCTTGTAAATACAACCTGTACAATTGAAGTTCTCCATTCAATTCTATTAAGAAAACATTTGTGTATTGTGGACCTAAAGTTCACAAAGATCCACTGGAGTTTTGACTTACTACAAAAAGAAATTGAACTCCACACCAACAGAAGGAAAACATCACTTTGCATGAAGCTAGATATATTTCAGCATTCTACTTTCATGCCTTTCTGCTTAAGAATCACCATAAAATCATTTACAATAACTACTGCAAAAATTTTTGTTTTTACATTTCTCCAGAACAATTCTGCTTTCCCATCTGGGAGTATTGTGTGATGGGAGTTTGTTCTAATGAAAAGCAGAAAAATATGTATTTAACAATATGACAGCTTTATTATGTTGGAGTGCAAGAAACAACTTAGAGTAAATTCAAAATTACCTGTATGTTAGGGACGGATGAAAACGTTTTTACAGAAATCTTCTTGGCTCCTGAATCGGGTGGAACTGTCATTCGGTTTGGCAACAGCAAAGTAGAAGTTACTGTTCTAACTTCCTCTCTCTTATTCTGTCCTGGCAGCGTTAAAGACCTAAACACCATGTTCTCTGTATCAGCTCCATTTTGTTTATGGTATTGCAAAGAACTGAAATTGCTGTTCTGAGTGTCTTTATCAGGCATTTGCAGTTTTCCAATACTTCGAGCAGAAATCTTCATATCTTTGGAAGGTGACTTCTGATCTCTGGATAACTGCTTGTGAAGGCAAACCTTCGATGGTCTCAGCAAGTGCTCAGTTGACTTACCCAAGCTTTTACTGAATTCACCTAAATAATCTGTACTTACATCAGGTCCTAATGACAAAGCACTATCAACACTTCTTGATCTTTTACGATCATCTGGATGAATTCTATTCCTTTTTCCTGACCTACCTCTTCTGTGAGGATCAACTTTCTTATCAAACTTTTCAATTAGCTGATCTACTCCTGGAAGTGAACCAGTGTCAATATCACGACCAGTTCCCGGCAAAAATGGGATGTATCTTCTGTTTTCATGACGGTTAACATTGTCTGCATAGATGGCATACTCTTGGTCATCAAGTAAAAATCTGTATAAGGAATTTGCAGAAGTGGGAGTAGCTGATGAAGATGATGATCTTCGTGAGTCATCCAATATTGGCCCAGCTGAATCTTGCCTGCGGAAGGGAAGAACATCTGGTCTAGGTTTTCTTGTCTCTGGATAAGCAGTGGGACTAACACACGGGGATCCTCCTGCAGATGAAAATGATTCTGAAACACTCACTTTGTTGGGGCTGATTGTGTTACTGGGACAATCCACCAACTGCTTACTTTTGTCTTCTACTGACCTGTTCACCTGTATCTTCTTTGAATTTCCTTTGGCTGGCTCTGCAACATATGTATTTGTTTTCTGTAGGGACATTAATTTAGATGAGGAAATCCAAGGCTTTGCTTCAGTTTTTTCATCTGCAAAAGATTTAGATTTACTGCACACAGAAGACTGGTAATTGTCCAAGTTCAAGTTATTTTTTTCAGGATCATAAGGCTGTAAAAGTTCCGGATGTTTTTGAAAATTCAACAAATTAGAGGATTTCACTGTTACATCTTTAAAATCTGACAATCCTTTTTCCTTTTCATCCATAGTGGTTATCTTAAGGCTTTCAAGCATACAGGGTTGCATATGCTGTGTTCCAAGAAAATTTGTGTGTTCACTGTTTTTGTCCTCCAAATTAAAAGCAATATTGGAGTCTGTGGCTGGTTTGCTTACAGTCTGAGAAATGATCTGGTATTCGTTTCCAGAAGGAGGAGGATTTTCTGACAAACATCCTTCTGTATTGTTTAGTACTATGTAAGGATGTCCATCGATTCCTTGGACTCTAATACTGACACCGTAAGACCCCGTCCTAGAATTTTGTGCATTTCTAGTTTTCTGTGTCTCCTCACTTGCAAGTTCAAGTGTGACTTCATAGTCTTGCTGAACGTGCTTAAAAGCAGCAAAATATGGGTCCATGATTATGAGACGATTATAGCTGAATAGAAGAAAAAATTACAAAAATGTCATTGTTTTAAATACTTTAGATTATTTCATTAATTTATTCCACCATTCAGTGTGGCTTTGAAGACTAACAGTAATATGCATAGAAATCAATCACAGAATCATAGAATCTTAGGGGTTGGAAGGGACCTCAAAAGAACATCTAGTCCAACCCCCCCTGCCAGAGCAGGGTCACCTAGAGTACATCACACAGGAACGCATCCAGGTGGGTTTTGAATGTCTCCAGTGAAGGAGACTCCACAACCTCCCTGGCAGCCTGTTCCAGGGCTCTGTCACTCTTACAGTAAAAAAATTTTTTCAGATATTTACCTTGAACCTCCTATGCTCCAATTTACACCCATTAACCCTTGTCTTATCACTGGTCATCACTGAGAAAAGCCTAACTCCATCTCACTCACAATTACCCCTTACATATTTGTAAACATTGATGAGGTCACCCCTCAGTCTCCTTTTCTCCAAGCTAAAGAGACCCAGCTCCCTCAGCCTTTCCTCATAAGGGAGATGTTCCACTCCCTTCATCATCTTTGTAGCTCTGCACTGGACTCTTTCAAGCAGTTCCCTGTCCTTCATGAACTGAGTGGCCCAGAACTGGACACAATACTCCAGATGAGGCCTCACCAATGCAGAATAGAGGGGGAGGAGAACCTCTCTTGACTGACTAACCACACCCTTTCTAATGCACCCCAGGATGCCATTGGCCTTCTTTGCCACAAGGGCACATTGCTGGCTCATGGTCATCCTCCTGTCTACCAGGACTCCCAGGTCTCTTTCACCTACACTACTCTCCAACAGGTCAGCCCCCAACCTGTACTGGGACATTGTGTTGTTCTTCCCCAAATGCAAAACTCTACACTTCCCCTTGTTGAATAATCAATACAGAAGCTATACAAAGCCCAAAGCAAATGCATTGTGATACAAAACCAAATGTTTGACTGACTGATTCTGGATCAATGTAATGTTATTTTATGACTGTAGATGTTAAGAAATAATAATGGTTAAGAATTCCTACAGAGCGTTAGTGCTAGCTGCTTTGGGATTCAATTACTTCAAATATAAGCAATTCTACTACAATTTTGAGTGAAAGCAGCTTTTATTTTGGTTATCTTCACTGTATTTATGGAAAAACAGTAAATCTTCACAAATCAATGATAATTTTATAGTCAGCAGATAGTACTGGTCATACTAACATTTTAACAAAAGCTTAGGAGAGCTAAACACAACCAGGTAGCTCTTCTGAATACTCATCTCACAATATATACTCTATTTCAAATATATAAGCTGAGACAAAATCAACAAAGTAAAAATACCAGAAGCTGATTCTAATCACCTACAGCGAATTAAGGGATCTCCATTGATACAACATGTTTTCGACCAGGGCACTGAAATAGGCTTCTGAGCTGCACTGATAGTGGCCAAGAAAGGAAAGAAGGAAAAAAAAAGATACCACCATACAGAGCTGTAACTTAGACTATACACTGTAAGGGAATCTGACCACACTAGGTTGGTGGAGGTAGGAAAGGCAGGATACCAGGCTCTGCAGTCTGTTCTTAAAACTGTTGCATGGGTCCAGCTACATTCATCAATGTCTCAAAATCACTCTTTGTTTACTCAAAGTAACAAAAAGTATTTTTTAAAGTTCAAATGTTGTTTTCAAATAAAGCAAGCATTTTGAAGCTTTCATTCTTTCCATTTTTATATTGCTGTTATATTAGACAGCACTGATCTGAACTTACTATTACATGCATGTAAAGAAATAAATAATTTCAAGTTTTAGCAAAATCAAAAGTATGAAACCGTTTCTCAGATTTCTAAATCAAAGCTCCATGATTGTCTAGGGAAAAAGCATTACAAGGCAAGATTTTGTAACCGAAAACTACTAAAGAGACATAGCCCATGATAAAGGGACAAATTTCTGTCTTATAAAGAGCAAGCGTTTAAAGTGTCTCAGTGTTTTCAGAAAAAAACACGAATTACTCATAATGCTATCTTCATAAAAAGAAATCTGGTTTACAGAATACAGTGTGCTGATACTCTAAGTTAAAATCACTCATGGCACGTTTGCATGAGACTGTGTAAGTGAAAAAAAACCAATTTATACATTATTGGTAGCACACATCTATAGTAGATGAATACATGAACACCTTTAAAAAGGCTCTCCACTCAGCAATTCTAGCAAGATTAGAAATTTCACCAATAAGTTTAGACAAATTGCTTGGTATATGAAAGTTTACATGACACTTTAAAGCTGTATGTATGAGCAAAGTTCATCTGAATTCGCCAACAGTGGTAACAATTAACAAACACAGAAAAGAGAGGTCGATAAATATAAACCTAAAACTTAAAAATAAGGATACAAATCAACCAACATAAAGAACAGATAAGCAAAAAATTACAATACATCCAATTCAGGATGACTGCAAATGCTGTACTTTCAAGAGCATCAAAGCTTCAAAAACTATTACAAATACAAAAACACAGAAACCCCACAACAAAACAAAAAGAAACCCTGAAAATCAACCACAAAACAACAAAACCCCTAGTGTGTAGTGGAAACAGTATGTAGGTTAATAATCTATCCTAAATTAACCATAAATATATTTAATTTGTCCTTAAAACTATGAAGAAATAAGCGCATTTGTCTTCTTCATGTGCATTATACTAAAAAAATAATTTCACCAAACACAGGATAAAACCTTGTAGAACTCAGTGCTAAATGAACAAATTCTTAAATAAAACCTTATATTTTTCTGGAACCATGAAGAACTATTTATATAAATCTCCATTACATCTACAAGAAAATAAGGCAACTGGCCCTACCATTCAACTATTTGAAGGCTTTACTTAAGAGATCCTATTTTATAGGATGTGAAGGCACAGTGGATAATGCTCCCTGAACTACATAGTATCAAAAAATTATTTAACAATACATAAAACCATTTGGTTTGTAATACTGTAAACATTTTTTAATTTAAAAAAGCATTGCTGGTTTTCCTCCTGCACAGCCTTTCTGACTAAAACCTAAAACCTCTGATTATGTTAATTGTTAATTAGTTACACTCACATTTCTACACACACACTTTATAGTCGTCAGTTCAGGCACTGGCAGGCTTACAGCAACAGATTAAGATGAGAGGACCGAAGCTGTTCCTCTTCCATCTGTCTGGCCCACTCCTCTGACAGATGTCACTGTCTCAAAAATGAGAATATCTGAGCACTGATGGCTGAGTATACACCTCAGCCAAAAAATCTGCGGACTGACATACTCAGGTAAATGCAATCAGCTTTGTGTTCCATACTATTCCATCATCAAAATTCTGACATCTGATACAGTGGAGGAGCTGACAACTGGGAGCAATGACAGCTGTAACTCTCCAGTTTTAATCTTCTTTAAGTCTGCTGAAGCCCTCAAAAGTTATGATCAGTTTGTTTACCCTTAAGCTTATGAAGAGAGACTCCCTGTTTGTAAGGCTGCTTGTTGCTTCCTTGTAGTTATTTACAAAAAATAAAACCTTTTCTATTTATTCAATAGAGGATGTTATAACTTCTAATTCCATGTTTTCTGCCAAACTCATACTTTTAATTTTAAATAACAAAGTCTTGCTAAAACAAAGTCTTGTTTTTAAACTCCTCTGAGTTTAGCAAAGTTTTCAGATAACAAAGCAATAAATGCTTAATTAGGTAGAAGACTGTCATTCTATTATTTTTTAAATTTAGTTCTTATTTCCTATTGTGAAGCAAAGATTATCACAAAAGCATATAGAAATTAATCAGAGCATAAGAAATAACTACTTTAATAAATTATTTTCTTTTTGCAAAATATTCCACTTGCTAAACCAACAGATAAATTAGGTAAGGACATACAAGCATCAGTATCTGTCAGAGATTAAGAGTTCAGCTTCAGTTTAGAACAACGAAAATACATTGACATCTTCTGATTGGTAAGTTCATCTGCTGTTCATACCAAGACATTTTTTATTGAGCAGCAAAGTTTCACCTGAAAAATTGAAAGTAGCACAGAAAAGAAATAGCCTGATTTTCTACAGTTGCATCATGTAACAATCTTAAACAGCTGGATTTACTGATCAGCAAGTTCAGTAAATCCAGTCATCATCTGGAGCAAGTCCAAAACAACATAGAATTAAAGATCCTGGAAACACACACACAAACCAAATTCACTCTACTAGGTAACACATTCAGTTTTACAGATATTATTGGCATGTGTTCACCGTATGTCCCAGAGAACAGGATGCCCCAGCTGAACAAAACTCACTTAATGAGCTTACCATCGACTCAGCCTGAGCCTGCAGGCCTGAGCCTTTGTATCTACATAGGCCTTTCCTCACTCTGAAATCCCATGAAAACCATGAGTAATCCCTAGGTGGTCACATCCAGTTTCAACAGGCTACAGCAGGATCAAGTTCTTTAGAAAGTTCAGAGTACGTTGGTTTGAAAGAGGCTTACTTCACTTCAGTGTTAACAACTGACTTAAAAAATGTAGGTCATAACACACTATCCCACACAGCTCTAGCATGCTGTTATCTCAGGTTGTACAATCCTCCCCTCTCATTTTGTGAGCCAGCAACCATGCAGCCACACAGCTTTCCCGATCCAGAAACACCAGTTTTCTACCAGATCAGGGATCACTTATTTTGGCCATCACAAAATTCCAAACTGAATTTGTTTTAACTCCAGCTTCAGAGACAGAAACATATTAAAACTGCTGCAAACAAACAAAATGAACACTCAAAGCTACTTAGGCCTTTCAGTTTGGGGATTTCTTTTTAAAATAAGCTTTCATAAAGGTGTTAAAACACTAGTTTTTAAATATTAGCCTACAGTGGGTATGAAAGCCCCATATTTTATCATTAGTCAGAAGTGTTTTAATTTTTCTGAACAACTTATTTATGCCAAAAATAGAAAATATTACATTTTTGTTTATAATGAGAACTTGTCAG